GGCTGAGAGGAGGTCAGGGGCAGCGGGGCTGGCCAGGGAGAAGGGGGGGGGTCTGGCCAAAGCGGGGCTGGCCCGGGTGCACACAGATCCCAGGGTGCTGACTGTCCCGCTCACGGTCCCAGCAGGGCGCATGGGTGAATCTGGCCCCACGGATTCCATCCCACCCCAGCCCCGCCCCTCTTGTCTCTACCGCGTCGTTGTGTGCTGCCTGGCTGGTAGACACGCAACTACGTACAGATACTCCTGATAATAATAACAACTTAATTAGAAAATACCCCACATTTCTCTGTCCGGTATTTTCTCAATTTGTTTTCCGGACAGAAAGCTCAAATACTGGACTGTCCGGCTCAAAACCGGACACCTGGCAACTCTACCAGTGCCAGCTGGGGTGTAGCACGCGCTTGTGCAAAGCTCTGCACAACGGGCCCTGATCTCGGCCGGGGTCTGGGCGGCGCCTTGATACCTTCTGTGGCAACCGGGGATACACATACTAAAGAGGGACTTTCATTCACTGTGTGTCGAAGGCCACAAGGCGATGCCCTGGGACCGGCAGAGTCAGTGTGAGGGACACAGGCAGGGAGGGAGAAGGAAAGCTGGAGATAAGGGAAGTGGAGAGAAAAGAAAAGATCTATTCTGTGGGCCTTCATGTACCAGCCCTGAGAGACTTTAATCTCTGCACACAGGGGGGTGCTCCATGGGGTGATGCCATGAGTCACGCTGCTGTGAGCTTGAAATCACCTCACTCAAACTATCTCACCCATTACCAAGATAGCTTCCCCAATTATCACCTCTAATACCATTAGCTCACAGACGTCCCACTCTCCCCACCTCTAATATAATCAATTCACAGACACTTACCTTCCTCCCCCCCCCCCCCCGCATCCCCCTCCTGTTCTGAAATGTGATTTGTCCTTTTCATATTTGTTCATTTTTTTAATTGTATCCTTTGGTATATATGGTTGTGACTATTTTCTTCCACTATTTGATCTGAGGAAGTGGGTCTGGCCCACGAAAGCTCATCATCTAATAAACCATCTTGTTAGTCTGTAAAGTGCTACATTGTCCTGCATTTTGCTTCACCTCACTCTGTGCCTCAGTTTCCCATCTGTAAAATGGGGCATCAAATCCTCCCTTTGCCTGTTTAGACACTGAGTGCTTTGTACAGGGATTGCCTCTCACTCTGTGTCCAGGCAGCACCCGGCCCGACGGGCCCTGATCTCGGCTGGAGTCTGGGGGCGCCCGGCCCGACGGGCCCTGATCTCGGCTGGTGTCTGGGGGCGCCCGGCCCGACGGGCCCTGATCTCGGCTGGTGTCTGGGGGCGCCCGGCCCGACGGGCCCTGATCTCGGCTGGTGTCTGGGGGCGCCCGGCCCGACGGGCCCTGATCTCGGCTGGTGTCTGGGGGCGCCCGGCCCGACGGGCCCTGATCTCAGGGAGGTGTGGGGGCGCCCGGCCCGGACGGGCCCTGATCTCGGGGAGGGTCTAGGGGGCGCCCAGCCCGACGGG